TGCAATATTTCACGTCTTTTATTTACATGTATATATTGTGTACTGATGATTATGTACGTAGATGATATGAAAAGTTCTGCGATGGATATGTTTTGTATTTTAAACGTAATATCAATTTACCGTGCTATTACACGCTGAAAAAAAAGATGTTGGTCTATCTAGGACTCTCACGTACTTTTCTCTTGACTTTAGAAGATAATCTTTCACTCGCTATTTCTGTACATTGTTCATGTTTCGTTTCATACAACTGGAATTTATTCATCATTCTATCATTCACCCCTCCCACACTCTCTCCTGAAGATTGTTAAATTGTAAATACTGTGACAACTGTAACAAAGAAGAAAAAAAAAGACAATTGTACTTTTTATTGTAACTGAGAAACTTTATTGAAATATATATATATATATTGACATAATAAATATGACATCAATGGTATACACGATAAGAATTGTTCATGCGTTTTATATACAGTTTTTTTTCTCTCTATGCATGCATGTGTGTGCGTGTGTGTGCGTGTGTGTGTGTGTGTGATTGGATTTGTCAAGACACACTTTATACATTTGAAATACATAAACATACAAATTTTCTTAACAATGAAATCTTAAACAATGATATATATATTTTTTTTCATCTATTTATTTCTATCAATATTTAAATACTACATAATACTACTACTTCATATGATTACAACTACTACATCGACTTCAAATTCATGCACAATCATTAATTAAAGGACTTTGCAATTTGTTTTAGAATGAAACTTGGATCGTGAATGGGTGCATTTTTGTTTGGATAGAGTCGTTGGATGGATGCGTGAACTTTCTTGTCATTTTGAGCACGGCTCTGATTGAATGTGGATACGATACTGGCCATACTATCTCCCCTGACCCGATGCAATAGATAATACAAACAATACTGCCCACACACGGCGGACCAAAACGATTGCAAGGACCTTTGGTTATAAGTCCATGCTTTGGAAAACTTGTTCAGGAAAGGTTTAAAACGAGGAGAACACATGGAAGGATGTCTCCCAAATGAATCCAAAAATTCACCCCCTTTAGTTTTGGTGAAGTAGATGGCGACCCAGTGGCTTCCATCTTGGTCGTGCGTATCTACATTGGCAATGAGTGCTGCCGGGTATGTTTTTATGACTGTGGGTAGACCGTCCGATGGGAAAACCCCTAAAAACGTGGATTTTAATTTTAGATCAGACTCCCCTATGTATTGCAGTTGTCGAGTATCCATGCCATAAAATGTTTAAACTATTTATAACACGAATGCCCCATTAACCCCCAAAGTCGATGATGACGTTGCGGTTTCTGTCTATTTCTATCACGCTTTCATATTCTGCATAGACCATCACATTCACTGTTTCTGGTAGTTCTCTCGCAAATTGCATCTCTAGTCGAACGTTGCCATGTTTACGCAAGTTGAAACAATCTCCCGTAGATAGATCGGGTGTCATGTCAAACGCGTACAGCGTGTATCCCTTGTCGTAGTCGGTTCTGGTAATCTGATTCCCTTTGTCATGAAACATAGAGTTGATGCCTGAAAAGAGTGTCTGGTATGCCAAGATGTAGTTGGGGTCAGGTGCTGAAAAGTTGGGGCGGATGGGTTTCCATGGTATTTGCTCAGAGTCTGCGTACAGTGCCAAGAAGTTCAGGTCGTAATGATGAAAGTTGAATGGATTTTTTGCGTAGTTTCCGTTGAAAGCTGTGTTACTGACGCACCCAATGACGAGGCGTTTGGGCATCTGCCCCAGGATGAGGCTTTCTCTCGTGAATGACAGGTTCCCTCGTGGTATAGAAAATGTTTTGACCTCGGATCGGCGGATAGGATACTTGGCTGTCTGCGTTTCTAACGTCTTGGCGTGGAGAAGGGATGTCTCTGGGCTCAATTTGACTCTTCTCACATGCAATGAGGCGCTGGTGATGATGACTTTGTATTCGGCGTTCTGGACGGATGACATCAGACTGAAGCTGTTCTTGCTGCGATTGAGTTTAAGTTTAATATCCACGCCACCCAGGAGCAGTTTGTCTTGAAAGACCATATCGAGATGAAGAAGACCCACCATGTCAACGGTCTTGCTCCCTTTGATGAAGCGATGTCTTTCTTTCAAACCCATATTACCCGCATCCTCACGTAGGGGATTCCCATCGTCCATGTGACCGGGCGTGTCCTTGTAAAAGAGGGCGGATGTTAGCTGAGATTCTTTGGCTTCAGGCCCGTACGTGAGCAATGTCTCCAGGGCTGCCCTGTAGGCGTACGTGTTTGTGGATGGGGTGATGAGTCTGTCATTCAGCATCAAGTCCACGTCGCTAAACAGGGAGTGTAAAAACATGTTGGTCGGGCCAACTTGGGCATCTTCAGCCAGTGGTGTACCATCTCCATTCACAACTTTTACTTGCAGATGGATGAGAGATTGCGAGAGGTCCGTGTACTCCTCCGTGGATCCTTGCAGATGAAATTGGATGGGGGTTGTGTCGGAAATGTTTGTGAGAGGGAAAAATTCAACCCATTTTCCCTTTTCCACAGTCGTTTGGGTAGGGGGGATGCTGAACAAGTCTGTTTCAGACTTTGAGCATTCGCAAGACATGTGATGTATTCTCTCCATTTTTTTCTTCTTTTCTTTTCTTTTCTTTTCTACCGGTCAAATATATCGGAAGTTCTCCTTCTCTTTGCATTTGGCAAACTGACGGGGTCCTTCTTGGGACGCTTCCTTTTAACCTTTTTTTTCACCCTGCCTGATGAATTGGAAGTGAATTGCTGACCCAACTTTTTGAGATTGGATGTGGTGGCAGATGCCAGGGATTTCCCATTAGCCACGTCACGCACCACATTCAACCCGGTCTGCCATGCTTTCTTGCCAAGTAATTTCCCTCCCGATTTAACGATGGGGATGGCAGATCGGAGAAGCCCTTTTAACATACTGCCTAATCCATACCCCCTTTGCATTCGAGCTCCTCTAAAGACGGGTAATCCACCCCCTCCGCCTCTTCCATACTCCATGATGCGGATTAAAGATGAAACGATCGTCTCCGTACAGAACGAAAATGTAGTTTCAAGACCACCTTCCCGTTTTGAAATGGCACCTTGTCTCCAAAGTCACTCCTTATATCTATGTGTATAGTGTCAATGTATTTGCTCTTGACGGGGAGGTAATGGGGAGTTTGGTAAGAACGGTCGACAACCTCGCCAGCACGTTTGTGATCCACCGCCACGATCCTAAGCAGAGGAGCGCTGATATCCCCGACTCTCTGATTTTCTATAATGTCGGTGTAAACGTACATGGCAAAAAGACCTCCATTGAGGTCGGGGAGAAATTTTCCTTCCTGGTTAGTACAAAGGGTCCCTTCTGGAAAACCAAACAATTGCCCCAGCCCCTCGCTGAGATAAACCCCACTGTCTGGTTGTATTTCGGCCCTCACTTTGAGCGTCGATGGATTGATGTTGAAACTGGCCTTGTTTCGCAAATTGGCTGGCAGGGATTCGTTGAATGCGGTGCATACACTCTGTGCATCTCTGTAATGTCCTACGGGAACACGCCCCACCGTGATGACCTGATCCCCGATTGAAAAGCTGTATTTGTTGTTTGTGAAGTTGACATTTGTCCACGAATGAGGATAGATGATATCCACCAACGCCACTTCATACTCTCCCCGCAATACCAAAGGAGTTGCCAACTTGGTGGTAAAACTGGTCAACGTGTTGTTTGGAAAATAATCGAAGGAACTGTTGCTTGGAAGAGTCAGGTAAACTTGGTCTTCACTCTCCATGATTATAAAATGAAATGGCAGTGTTAGGGGTTGTTGTATGATTTTTGAATATTATTTACCCACAGGTTAAAGGATGAGGGGTAGCCTAAGAATTTGACAAAATATTCTTTTTTACCCTTGCGCGTTCTCTTCTTCAATACCTCTTCAACTCTAAACACGCCCTCTTTGTCTTTCTTCACTTTCTGTAACTCTGGTCCGTAAAAGGTACCCATCACTTTTTCCCCACGATCATCCTCTATATCGTACACGGGAACATCACGCTCTCTACTTTTGGTAACGTTAAACACTTCTTGGGTCCAATTGGGGCGGTACCCCTTTTCAAAAGTTTGTTTGGCTCTACTGATGCGAACCCGATCCCCCGCAGTATACTTTGCTTTTTTCCCCCTCCCCTTTTTTGGTTTGAGGTACAATGTTTTCCAAATATCCCCCTCGTTGTCTTTTGTGACGAGTATGGGTTTGGTTTTGATAGAGCTGTGATGAGAGTGGTTGTATGCCCTTACAAAACGTGGCAGTACATTGATATATTTCGAAGTATCGCGATGTGTGAGATACTTAAACATCTTTTCCTTTAACGTACGGTTGAACCGTTCGACCACGGATGCTTTTGTAGTATTATGGGTCGTGTAAAAATGTATATTCTTTTTCTTCAAAAACGATTGAAAAATCCTGTTGGTGAATTCCGTCCCTTTATCAGTCTGAATATTCATTGGTTCTCGTTTTGATTCGAGTATTTTCTTGAGTGCTTTCACCAAACTCTTTCCCGTTTTATCTTTGAGAGCAACTACCCAGGCAAATTTGGACAATACGTCGATGCAAGTCAAAAGATATCTGTACCCTTTGTTGTATCGGGATAAAGAAGCCATATCTACCAAATCAAGTTGCCACAATTCATCCATCGCATACGCCATGACTCGACTCTTTGCAAATTTCTTTCGAACAGGACGATGTAAGGTATAAGTCTCATTGCCCTCCAACCACTCTCGTATTTGTTTACGTGTTAAGTTATACACTCCATCCTTCTTCACATAACGGTACAACTTCTCAACTCCCCCAAAACCCGCCTCGTTCTCAGGATCTCCATAAATCTTTTTCAAGTACTCATCCATCCTAATTTTTTAACCAACGACCAATCTTTATCCGTCACTCACCAACAATGACCAATCACCACACGACCCATCTCTTATAACTAGAAAACATTAACAAACAACATGGTGAGAATAAAAATTTCAGTTTAACCAACATTTTAATAAATAGTTCAAAATCCGAACATAAAAAGAAAAAGGAGAGAAATCAAAAATCAAAATATCAGAAGCAAATATATATGTCTTTCTTCAAACAGTTCGTATATCAGCAAGTAGACAGTGTTCAATGAGAGAAGAGATGCTACAAACGCATCATTTTGGCTTTGATGAACTCCTTTACTTGTTCGTCTTTTAAGTTAAAGTGGAAAAATTCCACGGCCTCGGCCATCGCGACTTCTCTGTCTTCCTCGAACATGATGGGCATGTTGTAGACAGACCACAGAAAATGTAAAAAGTCTCTTTCATGGAGCTGCTTGAGGGCACCCTCGAAATAAATATCCACTTTTTCCGGCCACTCCATGTAGAGGCATCCTTGATGGCCCTCCTGGCCTGGCTCATCATCTTGGCACCCCTGACATCCATCACGGACCAGGCTATGAATGATAGAGGAGAGGGCCTTCACGGCCATGAGGACAGGTGCCACCGGCAAGTCTTCGCTGATGTCGCGCCTTTGAGATGCCTCCATCTCGATGATCTCTCCTTCCTCCCTTTCCTCCTCATCGTCCTCGATCATGATGACATCACCATCTTCATTGTCTTCGTACGTCAGGACTTTCTTGATGTCTTTCATGTCTATGTTGACTGGTTTCTCCATCTCCCGTCTTGGTGCCCAGCTGCTTGGTGTTGGAGCTTTCACGCTGGGTGTGGGTTCGAAGGGGAGCGTATCCTCTCTCTCCAGCTCTTGTTCCAGTTGGTAGATGGCATCCTAAGGTGCGGGTGAGAGAGTGGGTGTCAATGCGGTGTAATATATAATTTCTATTTTTTTTTTCATTTTTTTTTTGTTTGTCTTATTCAAATCAGAATGGTAATCAATCTAATCTTTGTCTTCCTTGATTTTAGCACGGACAGCATCGCTGATGCTCATGATGGATTTTGTCATTTGCCACCAGTTGTCTGCAGTGAGATTGATTCCCCTGATACCCGGTAACATCCTATCGGGGGTATTTTTGCTCTTTTTGTCTTTGTAATATTCCCGAATGGCAATGTACGTGACACCCCTGTAATTTTTGACCACCGCATAACGTTGCCCACCCAAATGGAATGGTTTTGACCCAGATTCAAATTCAAACAATTCAAAACTCTCTTCAATTCCATGATGACAACCCGCCTCTTCCCGCACCTTGTACGTATTTTCTTTACCCTCGCCGTTCAGATCCTAATTTGAATGAAACACAAAAAATACAAACAACTATGAGTATCATTGCCATCATTGAGCATGCCACTATTATCTAATTCCTTCATGCATCCTCCCGTACCCTCCACCCACCCATGCAATTGATTAAAGTTATGCTATCTTATTACATTTAAAAAAAAAAATAATGATTAAAAAAAAAAAAAATGACAAGTAACAAAATAAAACGTATGGCAAGAGTACATACCTTCAGTGCCAAGATGTTTCCCGGTAGACCTACGGGCGTCAAGGGTGTTGGTGGGATAGCCATCTCAACTCTGGCCTTGACAGATGGGCGAGCCACGGCATCAAAGTCGTTGGCTGGTACCCTCTTAACACGTGGAGTACTCATCATCATGTTGGGCGAAGAATATGGTGTCGATGTGCAAAGTCCGAAGGGTCCGGTTGGTGTTGTTGGTGTGGCGGCCATTTTGATTCGTGATTGTTTAGCGCTGATGTCTATGATGAAAATGAGGCGAACTCGCCCACGTTATATACCCTTACACCCCCTAGGCGCCGCCCATCACAAACCTCGTCCAATCACAAACGCGCGCTATGCTGACATCACTTCCTTTCTAAAATCCTCGCATTCTCATTGGTCGGTAACACACACATTCAACATACATGCCGGGTGGCCCATTGTTTGGTCATTTGGTCCTTGTCCCTCGTACCCTACACACGTCCATCCTCCACCTCTCCATGAATGAATGAATGATGTAAACAAAAGAACTCCCTCCAGGGGATGTACCCTCATTACGTAACTTCCGCCGGAAGGACACCCCAATTAACTCATTAACACTCCCCTATTGTTTACCGGAAGTCACCGGAAGGATTAACTAATTAACCGGAAGGATTAACTAATTAACCGGAAATGCCAATTAACACTTCCTATATAGGGGTACCTATCTTCTTGCGTGCGTCAACAGCATGCACCATATGCATATCATGCGATCGCATAATATGAACGTACGTACGTACGTGCGCTAGCGCATTGCCTATATAATAACAAAGGGCGCATTTTCATGGCACTTGCGCCTTATTAAAGCACTAAATACGAAGCTAGAAGAGAGCTCGTGGGCGGCAAACTGTTCGTGATTCGTGTATTTTTACTGTTCTAATAATTTATGGGCGCATTTTCACGGAAAACACTTGCGCCTTGCCGTCTAGTTTTAGATGATTATGGGCGTAATTGGTGGTTTTATGTGCGCAAATTTAAAATAAAAAGGGCACGTCCAGTTGGAAAAAAAGGCACGTCGGCCAGTTTGAAAAAAAGGGCACGGCCTTTTTGGCCGTGAATATATCTTTTTTTGGGAGGGCACCGCGGCCAGTCATAGGGGCATCGACGGCCTGGCCGTCGATGGCCGTCGATTAATTTAAGGCCTGGTACATGTACATGTACACACTGATTTTGTCAACGTTGTATTACATCAGGGTGTGATATGGATAAAATCTCTAATCTCCCCGATTACACCAGCTTTGAGACTATTTTTTGTAAAACATACTGTACCATTTCAAATGTACAGTTAAACATTGTGGTACTGTACAAGTACAGTGTTTGTACATAGTAACTTATGCATGCACTTTGACAGCACTTTCTCAATTTTCCCAACTGTGGACAATGGACTAAATTGACGTGATTTTTCATCAAGCTTATTTACCGCTCCCCCCTCCCCTTCCCCCTTTCCCCCTTATGGTGGGAGTCATTTTGCATTGACAAAAGTAAGAAATAACTGTATGCACTGGAATGCATGCATACAGATCTAAAATAGTGAACTACTTGTTTATTCAAAACAGCTAGACAGATAAATCCAAACTGTCATTCTTGAACATTTTCAACCAATGACATGCTCCAAGCATAAGTCTCACAAAGTCTCTGACCAATACCAATGTCCTGAAACTTAAACGTTGTCAGCATCATGCAGGCAGGGATTGATTACATCTCTGTGCCATATGGGGAAAACATCTTGGTGTTTCTCTTGAACTGAGATTCTGCTGAAGAGCCATAAGCAGTTCAAATACATTACCATCTGGAACAGTCATGTTTTGTGTCCATACAGATTAAAAAGTGGTACATGTACATGTACAATACGTCTCATCGGTACTGATTTGAGGCAGATTGATGCACATTCACCTAAATATCGGCTTACTTACATGTGCAATGTACATGTGTAAATGTACATCTGCAATACAATTTGCAGCCTTGATCAATTTTGCTTTCTTTATGTGAATTTCCTAACTAAGCATGCTCATTTACATGTACTTGTACAAATTGCATACAATTTATTCAGGTACATGTAATATGTTCATGTACATTGTAGGCTACATGTACACGTTGCTTACAGTTACAGTTCAGTGTATGCGACAGTACATTTTTATTTTGCATTCATGATTTGGGAATTGTTTTTTCCTTGCCATTATGGTACATCTGAAATCAATAGCATTCTGGGTTAGAAAGTAATTTTCATGTTTTAGAATCAATTAGGTTTAGGTAGGTGACTCAGTTTTGTCACTTGCATTGTACATGTTTACCATTGTGTGTCAATACCAAATGTCCTTGGTTTACCACTTGACTACATGTACATGTATTGTAGGATCAATCTTATGGTTGAAAATATAAATGGTAGTCTAGTCCCAGACAATATAACTAATACTTTTGAATTGATGCACTTCTGTGACGGCCCTTTTAATTTGTCTCCTTCCTACACTGTAAATAAACCCCTCAATTTTTTTTGGAAACTCAAGTACATGATCGATTGCATCTCTCTTGTCATGGCATAATCATTGCAATGTTTAGTATTATTACACTGTATGTAGTGAATTTATTCCTTTTAAAAATGATACCCGATTTGTTATTATTTTTCAGTCATTTTAAAAAGGAATTATCACACTGTCTATTGATAATAATCAAAATAATGATTTTGTCATGATAAAAGCGCTAATCGATCCAACTTGAGTGTCCAAACTTTTTTTAGGGTTTTATATTTCAAGGTACATGTACATGCATGTTCATTTTGATTATAAGAAGGAAGTAAATGTTTATTGAATAATAAGAACATCATTAGTTAAATTAATTATGTAATATACATGTACATGTATGAACTGTCTTTGTATAAAGAGAAGTCTTATCAATAGTTTTGTTCAATCAAGTACATGAATATACTGTTTGAACTCACAATTTAATTAAACTTCTTTGATTCCAACCAACCTCTGTAGGAGCGCAAGCTGAGTCGTTCTGAGCGGCAGAGATTCAAAGAAGAGGCCGAGATGCTGAAGGGACTCAGTCATCCAAATATTGTTAGCTTCTATGACTACTGGGAAGAAGTCAGCCCCAGAGGAAAGAAACATATAGTACTTGTCACCGAACTTATGACATCTGGAACCTTGAAAACGTAAGCGCAAATCAGAGTTGTCATTAAGAAGCCTGAATAATACCAAATGTATATTTATTAGTGATACTAAATTATTTATGTATGACCCATTTTGGCTGATTGAATTAGATTGCTTTTGATGCAAATCTTATGGGATGTGCATAATTTTACATCATTTCGGGAATACATGGTATTTACGGTAAAATGTTAGCAGTCTTATCTATATTGCGTAGTCGCATACCGTTGTAAAACACGGAGAAAAAAATAGACAATGCAAGACACTGCCAATGAAGTTGCAAATCTTCATCCCTTTCATCTAAGGGTCAGTAAAGCAGTATCAGTGCTGTACCTCTGAGCACCTTTTGTTTCTTGCATACCTTTAGATATCTCAAACGCTTCAAGGGCGTGAAGAACCGTGTGCTGCGAAGCTGGTGCCGTCAGATCCTGAAGGGCCTGCACTTCCTCCATACAAGACAACCCCCCATCATACACCGTGATCTCAAATGTGACAACATCTTCATCACAGGCACTTCTGGTGCTGTCAAGATTGGTGATCTGGGTCTGGCCACCCTCAAAAAGAGCTCCTTTGCCAAAAGTGTAATAGGTAAGTCAAGAATCATTGTGAAATTTGATATGTTACATGATTTGAACATGACTTGAGTTTTTAAAAATCAAAACTTTGATGGAAATAGAAACCATATCGCTTAAAACTAATGAGCGACCATCGAGTACACTGACAAGTTAGATCCATGTTGTTTCAGTAAGCATATTTAACAAAGAAAAGAAAAGAAAAAAAAAAGAAAACTTTGTTTCTAGATTTCCACAATGTGACAGAAAATGGTTATTAATGGTTCTAAACTTTAGCTATTGAATAGTATTTACTTATATTTCTAAAATTCTATGGGGATAATGAAAAAAATGTATCTTTCATTTGCTTGTTTGTTAAATTGGAATTTTCATTGTTGTGTTCTATACATCTGGGAAACGTTTACATTGTTTGTCTTTTCTCCATAACTCAGTTTAGGAGTGTTCATGCGGTTTTGTTAAGGGAAAAATAAGTTGCTTTGTGATTCACTATGTGTACTAACATTGTTTATACATCTTATTTCAACATTCTCCTTATAAATTTAGAGTAAATTTCTATTCAGGTTTTTTTGACAGACAGTTTGGAGGTGAGACTCAACTTTATTCCCTTATAGTTGATCAAATTTGTACTGCAGTTATATGTGAATTGTTCTGTGAATATGGGATCTTGACTTTCATGTTTAGGTACATTTTCTTTTTATCTTATATACTCATTGAAATATTTTTACCAGGTTTCCTTTACATTTGAAGCAAGCCGACATGAGCCCTTCAAGACCATAACTAACAGATTATCTTCGTTTGCCGTGGTGTTTTTCCCCCTTCTCTCCCTTGAACAGGTTAGAAAGTTTGTTTTCAAACTCTACTCCTCCCTCCCTCCTGTTTGCATTCAAGGTACACCCGAGTTTATGGCTCCGGAGATGTACGAGGAGCACTATGACGAGGCTGTCGATGTGTATGCGTTTGGCATGTGCTTGCTGGAGATGGCCACATCCGAGTATCCGTACGCAGAGTGCTCCAATGCTGCACAGATCTACCGAAGAGTTACCACGGTAAGATTGAATATCAATTTGCTGAAATGCCTTTGATTGTGTAATTAGTACTTTTGTGAATGTCAATTAATTTTTCTCTTGGTTATTCCTCTTTATAATTTATGAAATGATTCTGTCAGTAGTGTTCACACAGAGTTTTGTCATCGATTCATGGATTATTATGTGAGAAATAGATAAACATACATATAGCTCATTTTCCAGCTGGATAATTCACTAATGATATCCTGAGTCTCCACACAAAGCAAAGTGGTTGAATAGTTGTTAATGTACCTTCATAGCCGGATGTGCACCTTAGCTTTATGTATCTCTTTGATGTTTCTGCTGTGATGAGTAATCAAAGGTTTCTTTGTGAGTTTAATGTGGCATCTGTCATCGGACATGGCTCACCATGGAATCTAGTTCACATAGGAGTCAGTATCACAGTGTTGAACAGGTCTGCTATGTGAATGTAGGTTTGTGGGGCCTCATCAATACCTATGAGATTCTGTCATCTGTGCCATCATCAAAGCCAGTTCCTCTTGTGGTCTTGGCTTTTGTTTGGTCACAGGAAGTTGATTAAAGGAACTGCGCAATGGATGGCATTTGTGACAAGATAGCTAGTTCCTGTTCCAAGTAACAGATAACACCTTGATCTGTCATTCAGAGTTGAATTGACCGTCTCAAAAGCAACAAATTTGGACATTGAGGAAGTGCCATATCACACATGATTTATATTAGGATCAAACCAAATATGTACAACTGAGTAATTTCACTTTTCATTCCAATAATAGAATAGCTGTACAGGCAGTGAAATAGTTATTTGCTGTTTTGTTGATCAAATCTACTCAGCAGTCTAAAATCCAATGCTGTAGAACAATATGTCATGATGTTGTAATGCATTCACCAGACAGTGGGGAAAGAAGTGCTGATCGACACTCCACTACATTTTAGCAAGCACATCAAATTACATTACCTCATGGGTCCACCTAAACCACATTTCAGATAGACAGGATGAACCCTCACTAGTGTAAATGATTCATAGTATGTTGAGATCATGCTTGAAATAACTTGTCATCATGAATTAATCGATCTATCATTCATTTCATCCATACTGTCCCTATGGTTTATTCATATAGTTATATGTCTTGGTGGATTGTCTTCACTCTGACGCGCTAGTATTTGTACATATTGTATTCTGATCTTTTTCACCTTCTTGAAATGTTTTTCACTTTTCATTTGTAGGGATTCATATACACTGTACATATAGAGAAATTAATGCAATGCCATGTTGTAAGAATTGTGAAGATACTACATGTAGATGTATGCTATGATTATCAGTATGTACATTTATACATCTATCAAGTATCATCAATGATGCTTGAGTTGTTCATCCATTGGCATTGTAGTAAACGAGCAAGGTGATTGGGTAATAAGGGAAGGGATCAGGCAGTCACCTCATGATTTGAAATGTGACGTAAGCTCAACACACTGGACTGGACAAGTAGGCCTTAGTTCATAGGTTTCAAGTAGTACTTTACATGCATGCTTGATTGCATTGCAAGTTGTTTATGATCTTACTCACGGTGCCCTGCTAGATATGAAGATCATTTCGGTAAATGACAACATGGGACCTGAGAGTCTATGACGGCTGTGAATAGTCTGCATGTTCAGACTTTACAATGACACTTTTGAGATCGGTGTTCTAGAGATGCATTCTACATGTAGACATCTGCTATTGAGACAAACTTGAAGTAGTTTTTCAAGTGGCTGACTACAGTTTGATTTGGTTTGGAAAATTTGTAGTCCATAAATGCAGAGCCGCGTTAATTCTCAATATGGTTTTATTGGATTTCAAGGAATTGACTTAAAATCATATTTATAATCACCCAAAAGCTTTAAGATCCCTTGAATTGAAAAATGTGAGGGATAATTCTTTTTCATTATGATAGTCACTTCACAAGGAACTATCCATACACTACTGCACATACACTGTATAATGTACTTCATTGTCTATAAGGGCAAATGATTCCAATTTAAATCATTGAACATGGTTTTGCTTTTTATTTAATCTTTATCTCCCATATATCCCAGCTTGCAATAGCTTGTCACTTGTCTGTGGGTTTATAATTACACTGCAACTGTAGATTTCAATGGTGTTATTTTGACTTCTGTTTGATGAAAACATTGTTTAATCCCTGAACATTTTATGTGCATGACTGTGAATTTTGATAGTCCTTGTAAGATAATCAGGTGGCAGAATTATCGAGGGGTGAAGATTTTATTTTTGTCTGAGGTTATAACTAGTAGGGTATTGTGTTTATTTTTGGCACAATATTCGTGCAGGAACAAAAATAGCTGCAATATAACACTTGAAATGACTGCAACAGAATACGGGACAAGAACATGATTGCCTGAGTCCTTCAGTTGGAGATTTATAAGCAACTCAAATTGCATGATCATGTTTTAGAGGGAGCACAGGTTCATAGAAAAATTCGCTTAAAATACAAACTATTTAATAGCTTAACTTTGATATTGGTTTTTTTTTTTAATGTATGAAATGCAAAAAATTATGTAGAGACAGTAGAGCACAACAAAATTAGATAATACTTATAGATGTGAGAACATTCATTTTGTGAAGATGTGATGTAATTCTGTTTGAATTAGAGAGGTGTATGTAGAAGGTCATTTGTGGGAAGAAAGGCAGCATATCAGGAGGGGTGGGGGTTTGGGATGGATAGATGGCCAGTAATAGAAAAACAGGGCCAGGGGGAACTGGCTTGTCTACTCACATTTCCGTCTGGATCTAATAAAGTGAAATTGAACTGCATACGGTAAGCACAAGCATCTTCCTTGGCCATGCAGATGGAGACTGCAGACTCTAATCTAATTGTCTGGTTCGCTTTAATGCATTTGTAATGTATTTTCAATCAATTATTCCAGGCCAAGTGATGACTATTCTCTGTGCTTGTAATGAACTTCATATTTATTTCATTCTAAATCAAGGGTAGAAATTCAATTAAATATCTTATTGTGCTTATACATCTAGTTTAGATGAAAGCTGCGTGATCAAGGTGATGATTATTTTTTCTCTAAAGTACATAACCTTTCTTATAGATTGAATTTATTATGAATTGCTTTTATTTTCAGTCTAAATTTAGGGTAAAAGTACATTTAAAATCTTATCGTGTAAATAGCGTGGGTGGAAGCAGTGGGCTGTAGGTGAGAATTTGTTTATTCTTTGATTTTTACACGGTTATATGAATTGGTTGTAAAATTTCACCATGTTTTGTAGGAATATATTAAAGATTTGTTTAGATGTTATGATGTTCGAGTACGTAGTTAGTTGTATTAGTTGACAAATTGAAATTCCATGAGGAACACCCTCGCTGCTAGGTCATCTTTTATGGAGCCAGGTTAATGATATTTTAGGATCCTAAGTATTAGAAAGGATTAGGGCCCCAGGGAATATTGTCCATTGATGTATACTTGACCAATGAGTCATTATCCTTCATTGAAACCTACATGTACAATGTAGGAGAGGGTGATCCTTCATGATTTGGATGTCTTCGTAGGTAAGAAGAAGGTCCAGAATCTTTTTTGCATTTAACTTGTACAAATGTAATTTAAATCAAGATATATATGTTGATTTTTTGTTGAAAAGAAAAGTGCTGTACATGTCTATTAAAAAAAAATGATTTTGTTTCTTTTTGCTGCAGGGAGTGAAACCACAAAGCTTTGAAAAAGTCAATGACAACAAGATCAAAGAAATCATTGATGGCTGCACCAAAACAAACAACACAGAGAGGTATGTATCCATAATTCATTATCAATAAATCAGGATGAATAAACATTGCATCACATGTTTTTTGGCATTTGTATGACTGAGATGTTATTAAAATGTTTCAGTATTATTTCAGTGCAGTATTTTTGAATATGTGTGTAACAACTTTATGAGTTTCTCTTCTTTCCGAATGTTTTTATCTGTTGGTGTTTTCCAAATATGTAGATTTACATGAATTCACGTTTCTGTGCATAAAAACAATGATACAGGTACCTATGACACACTTTTCTGCTGATTTGATTGATTGTTAATATTGTGGTGAATTCCATTTGATGCTTTCCCAGGAAAGAACACCATATGTGCAACATTCCATAGAAAATTGTAGCCTGGCTTCCATGTGCTATGATTTGTTTCCTTCTTTATCATTGAAATGAGTTATATTATTTTTGAGTATGTACAATATCTTGTCCCCTTGCTTTCATTGAAAATAGGTAGTAACTGAGTCTTCAGAATGTAGAATATTATTTTCTTAACTCCTTCCCCTCCCCTCTTGTGAATTATAGGGCATAGTCTCCTTACTCCTATGCAAATTTGGGGTAATTTTATTTTGTAGAGGGATGAAAACTCACTTAGTCTGAAGACAAGGCTAGGGGATTATTGTAATATAGCTCCCAAATCTGTTAATTATCAAAAGAATGTAACTATGTGTGAAATACTTTGACCTTTATCTGATTAAGTTATTTGCTTGTATTACACGATAATACAATGTCAGTTTCAATCAGATACACAATCATTTATAATTTTGCCAAGTTTCCTTTTGGCATAACAGTGAGGAAATAGGGAGGAAAAAACAATTCATCTTAAAGGCACACATCTTCATCAAAACATGCAGTTTTGTCAATTGGGGAAGGCGCACCGTGAAAAACAATTTCCATCTTATCCATGACCTTGACAAACGGTCTATTTCCTTTTCTTATTTTTTGTTGTTGTTTCGATTTATAAAAGAACACTGTAGAAACAATTTCCTTGACTTGGATTTGGATACATGTGTGTTGGGTACTCTTCCTTCCTTTTGGTAATGTATCTGGGGATAGATGTAATCTGTTTTGATATCCGTCTTGAAAACAGAATAAAGGAGAATTTTTTTCTTCTGGTTTTTCTGCTTCTCTATGGCCTGAATTCACAAAGGAGGTTAAAATTTATCCCATGGTTTAAACCTGCATTTACATAACCCATGGTTTAAAATAAGCGCAAATTTAGCATACCTTGCCTTGCGTGCGTTTAATATTGGACCTCTGACTGTGTCACGCTTATTTTTGGCTAATTTTAGACCACAGGTTATGTTAATGAAGATCTAAACCATGGGTTAAATTTAAACCTCCTTTGTTAATTAGGGCCTATAAGTTTCTTTCTGGTGTTGTTTGGAATTAAAAAATAGAGATATTACAAAAAAGTTGAGCATGATTGCTTTCAATGTTTGGTTGACAATTGCAAATATTTTGTCTCTCTTTTTTTTGAGGGAAAAAACAGGCAGTGCTGTTTATCAAAACTTTATTTAAATAAATTTTAATGAGTGCATTAACCTTTAATTATGAGTTTGTCATTCCGATGAACTCTCTTTCTCTGATTCCTTGGCTCAGGGTGTAGTATTCAAAAGCATTTGACATTTATAACTTCTTCCCATTTCCTGTCAGATCTAATTAGGAGACATCTTTATGGTACAACAAAAATAAAAGTGATTGTGATCTAGTTGAGAAATCTGATATGTTTCCATACTTTGAAAACAAAGTCTCTCTTTTTTTTGGTTTCATTTTCGGATGTTAAAATAAATGAAACGTATATATTGATCACAATATCTGAAGTTGCAACTTTGAGTCCAGATTGTTTACATGTAGATTATGCTGATATTCACAAATAAACGTTTGAAGAAAAAAAAGGTTTGTTCAAAATCATTATTCTAGGTGCTCGAAGGAAGGAATTCAGCCAATTCCTTTGACTAGTAAATGTCATGAATTTCAGTTAAGTTGAATGTTTGATAGATCTGGATGAGTTACGCCTACTCTACAATCTTTTTGAATTTTCCATTCTTGTTCATTTTTTTTTGCAACAGTAACTTTGTTTTTAGCAAATGAAAATAAGTTTGTCTAAAGAGTGCAATTTGCCAGGTTAGGAGTGGAGACCCTGTAGTTGTCAGTTTATATGCAGCCATCCTCTCTGAGTTTTTTTGCAGGGATCCAATTTCTATGGGCTGTATTTTGCATGCACTGTCTGTTTTAAGGTTTGGGGTTAGAGGGCTCATGTGGACTGGTTTCCTATCATTGTCAGGCCCTGAATTTGGGCATCGTAACCAGACTAGGCTCTCATCATAGCTTAGACTAGAGAGGATATCAGGCTATCTCTTGCCCAGTTCAAGTTTTGCTCATCACCATTCTTGTCACTTTGTTCTCTCCTCGGGTCCTCACCTTGCATGGTTTCCTCTTCCCTCGCTTGCCCTCTTTTATCGCCTCAGGTCGAGCCAAAGTTTTGGAATCCAGCCAGAATTATTCAATCGATCCCCGCATGTGATACTTCTTGCAGGCGCTAATGACTAAAGCATCGCTTGTCAGTGGTTGAGCTATTTATCAGTTCATCTTTTGTTTTTGAACTTGATGTTGTAATGTCTACAAAAATTTGTATTGAACATTAAAGTAGATATCGGGTCAAGATTTAATCCTTCCATACTTCCACCATGAATAATGTTATATATTAGTTCAATCCTGTTCATTTTTATTACACTTAAGCGCAATTGACACATTTTCTACATTCTCCTCAGTACAATCATAGACGTCTATGGTACAATGCACCACTGCTTGTGTTTACATGTAGAAAGGTTAAACAAATTTGCTGTTGAACCTTAAGAAAGGCTACAGTTAATCTTTCTTTTGTTCCTGAAATAGGGTTAAATTGCATCGAGAAGTCTACAGAGAATGTATGTTAAAAGCATAGCATTAACCGAGGGACTAATTAAGTTTCATATGAAACCGTTATAATTATAGCTTGACGGTAAATCTCTTGCTGTCTACAGTGTAGGCCAATGATAAATCAACATGGATGAAGTGACATGTCTCACGCATCATGGTCTATTAACAGTTGTAGTTATAATTAACGACATGCTCATCTAGCATGAAGGTGCATTAACACAATGGACAGAATCCAAGGGGCAAAAGCCGCATAAACCATCCTCAGAAGTTTTAGGTAACAAATCTTACAAATTAGATCTTTAATAGGTAACTACATAATAGTACAGATTCACCCCACTGTGAGTATTTCTGGGAATAAACAGAACTGCATGGGAACGAACTAAAAACTGCAACATTTTTCTGCTGATAGTCGAAAGAGTATATATTTAGTCATCACAAATTCTCAAGAATGGTGTATGCCAAAGATTGATACATGTACATGTATCAGCATAAAAATAAAATAATCATGAACTGAGGATTGTTTTGCGGCTTTTGCCCCTTGGATTCTGTCCACTGTGTAATGCCTGAAATCTCTTTTGATACTACAGTTGATCCTAAAAATACAAATTTGTATTATTTCCTCTTGCCGATTCGCTGTTGTTGCAGTCATGTGGAAAATATCCTGTTTATTCCTGCTGATGTAGGTCATCATATTGCGATGCTTCATGATTCTAATTTGATTGTTGCTATTAGACTATAATACGCTTAGTGATTTTCAGCAGGGTACTTTCATACCTGCCAAGTCATGGAATTTCAAATATGCAACTCTCTCCCAGTGCTTAGGAGCTCGCAATATCATTATTTACATTTCCTTTGCATTTGTATTTCAATACTTTTGGGGGGAATATCTTTGCCATGACGATTAATTTCATTGTCAAATATACGAGGTTAGAAAGTAGTATGTATCTTTTTCAAAATAGAAATTTGGATACGTCTTTTATGATTGGAATGTAAGATTTGCGAAAGGGCTGTCAAACAGTAAATCAGTAGTAGATATTATTGGATTTGCCGCTAGCAAAAAGAAACGGAAGAGATGTTAACAATCTTAGCTCTATCATGAGGTGAACGGTTGGAAATAGCTTACCTCAAAACCAAGCAAAAAGCTTCAGCTTCTCTTGAAAGCAATTTCAGAATGGAACGTGACATATCTGCGAAATCTAAAATGTGCACGTTCTTGGCATGTTAATTCGGCCAGTTGAAAATGCAAATTTCATGTATGATCACTTAATAACAATCCTGTCAAATTTTGGGTTGGAACCAGTTTGTAATATGATCTAAGTCTCCTTTTTTTTGTATGCGGTTTTGATATATGGGTAAATCCTAACCTGCATTAAAAGTTAAAAGGAAATAGAAATTATCAAGTGACTTTTTACCCCCCCCCCCCCTGTGCTATCGGTACAAACATGTTTCCCTCAAACAACAATTATTGGGATAACACGATACCATTGTACTTTTAAAGAAAAAACAAAAACAAATGAGAAAGAGATTATGTTTCACCAGGAACTAGCTGATTAAACCATTAGCAGGTTTAGACAAATTGAGATAATGTTACCTTCTACATTAATTGAACATTAATAATCTGAAGCATTAATTACCGGCATTAGGCAACAAAAGATATTGTCTGTTCGTGTTTGTTTCAAGTCTTAGAAGGAGCTAATTATCAATTAATAAAGTGGTGCTATCTTTACTGTCATTAAGAAATGGATCCAGCAGATTCTTTTTCCTAATGATGTCAGCTTTTTCAAATGTTGCACTCAGTTTGACTTCTCGTATTTAAACTTTACTTAATTCTGCCATATTTATCATTGACTGTTTCCCTTTTTTGTCTGTAAACATTAGAACATTAGAAGTGTTCTTGTGTTTAGTTTACCCAAATCAATTCATTTTATTTGCAATCCATTCCCAATTTTCTACTGTAATTATTTAGAAATACGTAAACCTTCATTTTCATGAACGTGAAATATCTAAAGGGTAAATTCCAGTCCTCCCTTTTCACCATGTGACAAAGATTTGATTAGTTTCACC